ACCCGCCTGCTTGTCTGTTTACCTACGTACCTCTCTTCCACCTGACGCTGAACGATGATGGCACGAAGGCTGGGATGCAACGTTGCCATCCACTCTTCCACGTCCTGCACCTCTTCGTCCTCCTCCTCATCATCATTATATCTCTCGTTAACCTCCTCCAGTTCTGGATCCTACTCCAACACGTCTCCTCTCCTCTCTTATATTCCCTCCGTTTCTCCACCTGCTCCTCCTCCTCCTCCTCCTCCTCCTCCTCCTGCTCTTCCCCCTCTCTACTTTCCCTCCGCCATCCGATGTCCATCCTTCCGTTCTCCTCTTCCGCACCTTACTGCTCCAACCTACCCGCTTTCTGCCTACAAACCTACCTACCAAATTGCCTACCCCTCACTACCCCCATCATCCCACATGTCCTCCTCCCCCTCCCCCTCCCCCTCCCCCTCCCGCCCCCCTCCCTCCCCCGCCTCCCTGCTCCCCCTCCCCCCTCCTCTCTCCCCCGCCCGCCTCCCCGGCGCCACCCCGATGCCTCCCGCCAGCGGGGCGGCGGGGGGCCTGAATTCCGGGCGGATCTGCAGGTGCGCCGGCCTGCCGCGCAGAGGGGGCGGCTGCCCAGGGCGTCCGCCGCGGGGTGCAGCCGCGGGCAGCGGCGGCCGGCGCAGGCAGCGCCCGTACTGCGGCGGCCGTTCGTCGAACGGCGGCAGCGACGGCGGCGGCGGCGGCGGCGGCGACGGCGGCGACGACGACGACGACGACGACGACGACGACGACGACGACGACGAAGGCGATAGCGACGACGGCTGCGGCGGCGGCGGCAGCGGCCGCGACGAGAAGGAGCGGCAGCTACGACGGCGGCGACGGCTCCGTCGGACTGGCGAGCCTCAGACCTGCCACTTTTCTGCACCCTGGGCCTGCCGCGCCCAAGGAGGCGGCCAGCGAGCAGCAACGGGCGACCAGGCACCGGGCCCCCTGGAGGGGCCAGGGCAGGACAATGCCTGACCACGGCGACGGACACCACCACAACGACGACAGCGGCGGCGGCGGCGGCGTCGGCGGCAACGACGACGACGACGACGACGACGACGACGACGACGACGACGACGACGACGGCAGCGGCGGCGGCGGCGGCGGCGGTAATGGCGACGGCGGCGGCGGCGGGCGCGCCTCGCTGTGAAGTAGCAATGGCGCCTCTTCGCGTAGCACCTGATCTTGCAGTCTTGCTTCTTGTCCCTAAGCATGTAGTTGTTGTAACGCCTCCGTCGCCCCGCACCCCCCCACACATCAACAGTGAGAGAAGGGCGAGGAGGAGGAGGAGAAAGAGGAGGAGGAGGAGGAGGAAGAGGAGGAGGAGGAGGATGAGGAGGAGGAGGAGGAGGAAGAGGAGGAGGAGGAGGAGGAGCAGGAAGGAGGAGCAGGAGGAGGAGGAGGAGGAGAGGGGAGCGCCTCGTCCATCATTTCCACTCTCCCCGCGCCCTCGCTCCATCTCTCTTTCCCGCTCACTCTCGCTGGCGCAGAGACGCGGGCAGAAACGGAGGATGAGGAGAAGGACCAGTGCAAACCCAAGACTCATCAACAATATTTCAAGAATCCTCCCTCCAAGTTCCCTTTCATTGGCCCCTGACAACAATGAATTCGCACTGAAGGAAACACCCCGTTGGAAGACAATCGTTTGAAAATCCTGAGACTTCAACGCTGCAAATCACCGCTACTGTTGTCTTGACGATACTGAACCGTGCCAGAACATTATTTCTCGGACTTCAACACAACGAATCAATACAACTGTTGCGCCCTGACAATCCGACGTCGTGCCAAAACACCGTTTTGAGGTCCCTGAAACTGTTTTGAACTTTTAGAACGAGTGCGCTAAGGCGAAAGCCACAGTGTGAAAAGAACCGCCATCCATCCGCGAAACAGTTGCAAATTGTTACCACGAATGTGCGCGGCGCTAAAGCGAGAGCCACATGTTGAAAACGGGCCGCCCCCTATCCACGAAACTGCGGCAAACTGTTAAACGAATGTGCGCGGCGTTGAGGCGAGAGCCCCATTTGTAAACGGCTCGCCATCCATCTGTGAAATGGTTGCATCTTTTAATACGAATGCGCGCGGCTGTAAAGCGAGAGCCACATTTTGAAAACGATTCGCCCTCCATCCTTGAAACTGTTGCGATTTCTCAAGCAAATGTGCGCGGCGCCAAGGCGAAAACCACATGTGGAAAACGGCCCGCCCTCCATACGTGAAAAGGTTGGTGTGCGGCGCTAGGGCTAGAGCCACATGTTGAAACTGGCCTGCCCTCCATCCGCAAAACTTCTGCTGATTTCAAGCGTCAGGATTATGAGTGGTGAGGAAGTCCCAGGCGAAAGGCCCAGCCCAGCCTTTCGACCGGCCTCAGGATGCGAAAGGGAGGAGTTATTCATAGAATACGAATACTGATAATGACAAGAAGAAGAGAAAGAATAATAATATTGATTTTGTATCATAAAAACAGAAATCAAAAACAAGAAGGAGGAGGAGGAGGAGGAGAAGGAAAAAGATCCCCCTGGGCGCATGCAGAGCGTCCAGCACTTGGCGTAGTTCCGGTCGCACTCGCCCTGTCGGCGCGCGGACGCGGGCTGGAGGCAGAGGTAGGGACAGAGGGGGGGGGGAGGAGACGGAGGAGACGGAAGAGAATGATGGAAGGAGAAGAGTGACGGAGGTGGGTGAAGGGGGGGGGGAAGCGGAAGGAACGGATGCGCGGCAAGGAAGCGGGCCGACAGGGAAAGGCCTGGTGCGGAGGAAGCGGGCCGACTCCCTCCTCCCCTCCTCCTCTCCTCCTCCTCCTCTCCTCCTCCTCCTCATCCCTCCCCTCCTCTCCTCCTCCTCCTCCATCCAGTTTCCGTAGAAAAACCTCCTCCCTGTCGCACCCCGAGGACGGTCGAAAGGGCGGGCCGGGCGTGTCGCCTGAGACTACCTCACCATTTATGACCCTGGAGCTGAAAAATTGGCAGCAATTTCACACATGGGCGGGTGGTGTTCAAAATGTGGCTCTCGCCTTAGAGCCGAGCACATCCGCGAATGTGCAAGAATGTCACGGATTGAGGGCGGTTCGTTTTCAAAACGCGGCTCTCGCCGTAGCGCCGAGCACATTCGTGTCAAAACATGCAAGAGATTCACGGATTGAGGGCGGCTCGCTTTCGAAATGTGACTCTCGCCGTAGCGCCCCGCACATTCGTTTTTCAAGTTTACAAGAGCTTCACGGATTGAGGGCGATCGTTTTCGAAATGTGACTCTCGCCGTAGCGCCGCGCACATTCGTTCCCAAGACTTACAAAAGTTTTACGGGTCGAGGGCGGCTCGTTTTCAAAAATGTTGATCTCGCCTTAGCGCCAAGTTTCACGGATTCCAATGGTCAACGTTCCAGAAATGGTGTTTCGGAAGGACTCGATATTGTGAGAGTGCAGCAGTTACATTGATTCGCGGTGTTGAAGTCCAAGTCCTGGTACGACTCAGGACCGTCAAGACGCAACAGTCAGGTTGACGTGTGGCGTTGGAGTCCCGAGAACGGCGTTTTGGCACGCTTCAGGGTCTTCAAACAGTTGTCTCCCAACGAGGCAGTTCCCTCTGTGGAATGAGCCTATGTAGGGGCCTATGAAAATGGAGCTTGGAGGGAGGGTTGATTACAACATCGTTGATGAGTCTGGGGTTTACACTGGTCCTCTTTCATCTCCTCCTCCTCATCCTCCTCCTCTTCCTCATCATCCTCCTCCTCCTTCCATGCATCCTCCTCCACCGTCGGCGCCCGCCGACGCTTACGCCCCCCAGTCTATCCATTGTCGTGCTCATCCTGTCATGCTTCCCCACTCGGTCAGGCTTCGGGCTTCGCACAGACTGCCACCCTAGACAGTCCCAGCGGGCCTTCAGTGCCCCCGAGTAGTCCAGGGCGATCGCAACACCCCAATCCTGGAGCGCGGAGCGCATGATGGGGGTCTGCTGGAGGCGGCGCCAGAGACCGCCCTGGACCCCTAGACTGCTCAGGGAGCCTGTGAAGGCCCGCCTGGACTTCCTGGGATGGCAGTCTGGGCCCAGCCCGAAGCCTTATCATCCCAAGTGCATTCGCAGTCATCACCGTTCTCGTCTCGCTCTACCCTCCGTTTCGTTCCCAGCCGCCAGGCTGTCGGAGCCTTCTTGGTGTCTGCCTCCCCTGGCAGCGTGCCCGCTCCGGGTCTGGGAAGGGGCGGCGACTCGTGCTGCGCCTCCATCCCGCGCTTTATAACTCTCTCCTGGGCGAGGGGGGGACAGCTGGGAGGAGAGGGGAAGGGGAGGAGGAGGAGGAGGAGGAGGAGGAGAAAGAGAAAGAGGAGGATGTGTTGAGTTTCCTGGCAAAGGTCCGCACAATGGCCTAGATCTGGCGCCTGTTCTTCTGCCAGCGGCTCGACGACCGCACTTCTGTGCAGCCGTGGACGGGGGCGGGCCAGCAGGAGCAGGCAGGCTTCGCCTCAATGCGGTCCACTCGCAAGGGCACTGCGAGGCGCCCCGAGGCCCGGCGAGCGCCCCCTGGAGGCCGAAAGCGGGGCGTGGTCTGGTCCCCTTCCCTCCCCTCGCCCTCCCATTCCCGCTCGCCCTCCCTCTCTGGACCTAGCTCCGACCCGCGAACGGGAAATAGCCAGTGCAGCCGAGCCAGTCGGAGCAGAATCCGCAGGGGACTCCACCCCGGAAAGAATGGAGCCACTCTGCTTTCTGACACTCTCGGTGTGGTGTCAGCATGCAGCACAGCGGGGAAACCCGCAGCTCCAATTTCTGTTGGAGCGTCGGATCTCTGGGGGCTGGAGGCCTTTGGAGGGCCTGAAGTTGGGTGTCCCAAAACTGTGTGGTGACAGACCCAGCTGTGACCTCGAAATCCGCAAAGACCTCACTGCATGGGTTCGTCGCCGCGCGGTCCTGGGACCCTGGAGGCCCCTGTCGCCCGAGACGTCCTCGGAGAGCGACCCGAGCCCCAAAACCGTGCGGTGACCCCGAATCCCCACCGACTCGCCACGCGGTGTGGTCACCATCCCGTTTGGGGGCCCCCGAGCCTCTGGATGAGTATCGTTTAGCCGACCCCCATCCCCAGCGGCGTGGCCTGGGCCCCACTGGCCGACTTACCCCCCCTAGATGGGGGTATAGGCTGTCCCCTTTTGGGCTTCGAGGGGCGTATCCCCAAGTGGGGTGGTGATTTGGTGGGGGTCTCGAAGGGGATGAGGATGGGGCTAAGGGGTCGGTTGCACGATGCTGACTGGCGGGCCTGAAGCCTCCATGCCCGATACTCCGGCCGAGCCTGCGAGGAGCTGGGAGGGCGGCGCCGGACCCCGCGCGGACCGCGCGCCCGCGGCCCGGAGGCACCCGCGTGCCGCCGAGGGGTCGGGGCGCGGTCGCGACGGCTCGGCGGGAAAGCGAGAGGGGGGAAGCGAGAGGAGGGGAGGGGCTTCTGCCTCCTGTGCTCCTGCCTCCTCCTCCTCCTCCTCCTCCTCCTCCCTCCTCCTCCTCTGCCCTCCTCCTCCTGCTGCTGATCCTCCTCCTCTCTCCTCCTCCTCCTCCCTCCTCCTCCTCCTCCTCCTCCGCCTCCTCCGCTCCTCCTCCCTCCGCCTCCTCCGCTCCTCCGCCTCCTCCGCCTCCTCCGATCCCCTCCTCCGCCTCCTCCCCGCCTCCTCCTCCTCCTCCTCCTCCTCCTCCTCCTCCTCCTCCTCCCCTCCTCCTCCTCCTCACCCTTCCTTCCTCCTCCTCCTCCTCCTCCTCCTCCTCCTCCTCCTCCCCCTCCTCCCCTCCCCCTCCCCCTCCCCCCTCCCCCTCCTCCTCCTCCTCCTCCTCCTCCTCCTCCCCTCCCCTCCTCCTCCTCCTCCTCCTCCTCCTCCTCCTCCTCCTCCTCTCCTCTCCTCCTCTCCTCCTCCTCCTCCTCCTCCTCCTCCTCCTCCTCCTCCGCCTCCTCCTCCTCCTCCTCCTCCTCCTCCTCACTCCTCCTCCCTCCCCCTCCTCCCTCCTCCCCTCCTCATCCTCCTCCTCCACTCCCTCCTCCTCCTCCTCCTCCTCCTCCTCCTCCTCCTCATCCCCTATCCTCCTCCTCCTCCTCCTCCTCCTCCTCCTCCTCCTCCTCCTCCTCCTCCTCCTCCTCTCAGCGGCGAGCCCGGGGGGGAAGTGAGAAGGGGCGGGCCGTCTCAAAGGCTCGGGAGATACCCCGGCCTTCTGAGAAGTTGTCTAAGGCTTCCCCGAAGACACAGAAAATTTCTCAGAAGGCGCGAGGGCTTCTGAGAAGTCCCGCCGCTTCTGAAAAGGCCTTTTTCTTCTCACTTCACCCACTCGCTCGCCGCCGAAAAATGGCAATCTCCGCTTGGAGACTCTTTTCAGTACCCAGAGATCCGACGCTCCAAAATTATCCCGGCAAAGCAACCTAACAGCGATATGTAGTAGCATAGCTGGAGGCATGCAGCAGCAGTAACACTCGCAGTTTGATTTTTTCCCGTGCAAAGCGTGCAGGTTGAGAAGCATTGCAGACACGCGCAGGCTGAAAAGCATTCCGCGACACGTGCAGGCTCACCGCGCACAGCTGCACACGAGCGCAGGCTGAGAAGCACCACGCGCATGCAGGCTGAGAAGCACCACGCGAATGCAGACGGACAGACTGAACAGCACCGCCACAACGCAACCTGCATCTCATGGCTCCTCAAGCTCGCGCTGCCGCTTGGGATACGCCGACTTTGCACGAGCCACTGAAATCACGAGCAGTAGTCGTAAAGAACACGCGCTCGCCTGTGTTCTCCACCACAGGGTCGGCTGGCTCCGGTTCCTCAAGCCTCATCCCATTGACCTGCAACAAGAGTGGCAAGTTTGCATTCGGATCATCCGACGCCATAGCCAAAAAGGCACAGCAGGAGAGGAGTGCTTCTCCGGTGAGAATCTGCGACGCCTGGTCTGGATCCCAAGTACCCGCGTGAGCGGTGGTCAGCTGCTCCCGGTCCATCGCGAAGTCTTGAGTGGCTGCTAAGTCGTGTAGTTGAGTCATTCTGGGACAAGAGCATGCGGAATCCACCACGCGATCTTGCGACAAGTTCAGCTCCAGTTTGCCGTCGAATTTGCCCGCCACGTTGAGAAACAGCAGCGGTTGTCCTTTGTGAGAGCGACAAAGCTCTATGTTGGTGGATCCCCAGACTGCAATCACAGCCTCCGCTGTCTTGGAGTTACTCGTCTGTGTGCCGTCGACCAGATGTACACTTGCCACTGGAGGGTGGCCAGCGGGAGTGCGGGTTTCTGAAACAGAATGAACCACAGCCATGACATCGAAGCAACGCTGCGATTTGATGTTCATCATGTCTGCCACTGTAGTCGCTGGAGCCGGCGCCGATGCCAAGGAGGTCTCCTCCGGAGAGCTTTTGAGCACTGGAGTGCAGGTTGTGCGCTTGAGGTCGACCACGACACGAACAGACGCATGCACAAAAGCGTCCTGCTGCCGACTGTCCAGGCCGACGCTGGAGAGTTTCCACGCCGTCATCGGAGGGAACTTTTTCAGAGCAGCTTGGACTTCTGCTGGAGTTCCTTTGAGGATGGCCTCACAATAGTGCTCTGAGTCTGCGCCAAGCAGAATGCATGTGAATCGGTTTGCATGGACTAGCTGGCCATTGTTCCTGCTCTTGTACGAGTACTTGATCTCCCTGGGCTTGTATACTCGGACAAGGAAGTCTTGGGTTTTGGCGCTGCTCTTCGTGAGAAAACCCAGTGGAGACGTCGGCTGTTCTGCAGCAGCAGCCACGGTAGCTCACCCGGAGGATCACCGTGGAGCGCACAGTGACACAGGCTGAGAAGCACCGTGCACGGCACGGTGAGACTGGTTGAGCGGATGCGGACAAGGCTCGATTTTGCCTCGAACTCCTGCAATCCAAGTTCTTTGAACCAGAACGGCAATGATTACAGAATTTCAAAGTTACAAGTGATGCCTCCACGAAGCACCCCCCCTGTGGAGTCGAGAAAGCGTGTTGCTGTATGTGTGCGTGACTCGATGGATGTGATGTGTGTGCCGCGTGGCCCCGCCCCAAAAAATGCTTCGGCCTCTCAAGGCCCCCCCCGCTCCACGAATCCCATTGGGGGGTCGAGATCCCCGCTCTGGTGGGCGGAGACGCCAAAGGCTTCGAAAACCGCGAGGGAGGGAAGGATAAGGGAGAAGAAAAGGACGGAGAGGGAGGGCTCGGAGGCCCTTGGAGGGGGGGGTGTGCCCATCCGAGGGAACGGTGCACCCCCCCCTCCCCGTCGTGAAAACGAGGCACCAGCCGCGGCAACGACCCCCCCCTTATCCCCCTCCGCGACCTGAGTAGACCACCCAAGCCAGCGGAGGACGTCATAGGGGGCGGGGGTTCTGACTTCGATGAAAGAAGAGAAGGAAAGCGGGGGGCAAGGATCAGGCAGACGAAAGCCCTTTTAGGCTTTACCCGGCGTGTGGAAATGCCCTTTTTGGCTTTTGCGGGGACTAACCCGCGCGGTCGCCCGCAGGCGACAGGGCGCCCAGGCCCTCTCCGCGCGCGCAGGCGCGTGGCAAACTACATGCGCACGATGGCCCGTGGAATCAAATGGAACCGTCCGCGGCGAGTCGTCCGCGGCGACTCAGGACCACGCCGCCCTGGAAGAAGAGGCGCTACAAGGATGCATTCTGCGACGCTGGAGATCCCGATGCGACGAGGACGCTGCAGAGAAACATTCTGCGCGCGCACGCACGACCTGGAACGACAAGCACAATACGGGAACAAATTCGGTGACGTTGGAGTCCCCGATGAGACGAAGAAGCAGCAGAGACACGTCTCAAGGCGCAGCAACACCGAAGTGACGCAAACGCACCCCGCGACACGACAAGGACGCTGCAAGAAGAAACTCGGCGACGCAGGAGTGCGTGGAAGCTACAAAGGCATGGAAAGGAGGCTACGAGGAAACTACAGAGCATTCAAAGCGTCTCGAGCTTAGGGAGCCTTCCTCAGAGCCCTGGTGCGCACGACTTTGGCCGAAGGCCATCATATATGCAAGTACAAGAGTTCATGCAGAAATCTCTTGTGCATGTGCTGGTGCCACTGCTGCGAGCAGGCAGTGGAACGAGCGAGGAGGGGGCATCAACCTTGACCGCCGGCCCCCGCCCCCTTCCCTTGACCGCGCTCCGCGGCCGGGCGCAAGCGCGGCCGGTCGGGGCAGCCGGCCGGGGCAGCCGGCCGGGGCAGCCGGCCGCCCTCCCCTCCTGCTCGTCGTCCTCCTTCTCCTCCTGCTCGTCCTCGTG